TATCTTGCCATAACTAAATGCATGCAACAGCAGACAGATTGAATTCTCTCTGATTGTGTTAATGCTTCCAAGTGTGCGAATGTGTAAACATATGTTTGTGTGTGTATACCTTTGCTTATGTGTGTGTGTTTGAACCACACTCAGTATTTGGTGTGAAATAAGGAATAAGAAACACAATAAGAGAGACAGAGATTGCTTTTTGCGCCACTGGTTAACATAACCGACTGGAGCAGATGGACTCTATACAGCCGATTGATTGCCCATGGTTGCCTACATTAACAAGCCATTTACATGTATTAACTGGAAAGATGACGAGATAAAGAACAGCACCATCTTTTGCTAACGTTACCTCCAGAAGAGCCCCATCTGGTTTACCCTTCAGGAGCCCAAAAACGCGCATTTAATCACCATTCAGAGCCAACAGGGAGCCACAGTTTGTAGACTGTAATGCTGTTTGATATTTACATTCATGTTCTACTTCAGTGCTTCCTTAAGCGACACATTAACAAAACGCATGGCCTTCGATGGCTACACTTGCTGCAGAAGGGGTCGAACAAGCTCTGTGCAGCAACCTTGGCAGAGTGGCTATAAATAGAAGTGCAGGTTATGTTATGTCCAGAGGTGCAGAAAACTTTTTTACACACTGACGGACACACATGGATAAATATTATTCCCTCCAGGAGTTTTGCAAGTACAACCAATTCCCTAGAATATTTTTTTCCAGGATTACCCGTCACTGCATTTCTTTGCATAAAAATAACTCAAACCAGAAACGTGAAATGAGGTTGTCCTGTGGCTATGTGGATCTTCAATTTAACCCTTTTTAAACTGACGTAAACTGAACCATATCTAATATAATATTCAAAACTAAGCATTCAATTTATTGAGCTTGTGGGCAGTGCCACACGGCGAGGTAGGAAGCATTAAGTTTAACCTCACAGGCTTAAGTCAGGGAAAAGGGGTAGACTTCTAAGTTCCACATCTTTGGTAATTAACTGCACATGCTAACAGAAAGAAACATTCCTATATTTCTAAACTCATTTAGACTCATCAAAACCAAACTAAAGTCATCAAACAACACAAGTCAGTGCGATCCAGGAGGGACTATATGAACAAATTCCAGAATTTTACTCGCACTAATCAGTGATGTGATATTAAGCAAACTAAATAACAAACCTTTTATAATCCATTTTTATGGCCATGTTCTTTTCTTGAAGAGTATCCTTGTAAATTATGAAAAAACCCCTGTAATTTGTCAAAATATTCAGCTCTTTCTCGAATATTAATCCTGTCCAAACAGGACTTGAGACTCTGATGTTCTCCCACGTTCCCTGTAACGCAGCTAAAATTACCCGATTAGAAGGTCAGGATTTACTCGCACAGAAGCAGATGGACCCATTCCCCAAGCACTCTAAAAGTCATTGAGTGCTCATTTAAAAGTTGATAAATGTTAAGTAAGTCTAAATGTGATAAAAGGGATCAATCCTTCTAAAAGCAATCGACCTTTGTGTCACATAATCGGCCACTCAATTGTAAAGGATACATTTCCATTAGGGGGCTCCAGTTTAGGCAAAAACGATGCTATACAATATCATAGCTTCTGTGTTGTTAGAATAACATTTTTATAAGGGCCTTTTATCATTTATTGTCCTTGCATTGCTCATTGATATTGACATTGATGTTTTCAGTGGGTTTTGTGACTTTTCATAGAAAATGGCTTCTAAAAATGCACTCTTGTTCTGTCTTAGGAAACTGGCAGGTAGCACTTTATTGATCCCCATGAAATGGATCAGCTTATCCAGAATGGCAGCTGCCAGGTGTTCAAGGACACTTCAGTAGGACGGATGCTTGACAACACAAAGACAGTGAGCCAGTCTGCCAGTCAAAGTCCTTTGCTCAATGTGCCACTACTGGTTCATTTCAGGAACATTGAGCAGTCACTGGGCAGCAAAATGGAAAGACAGTGTTTCATTTGGCATTATGAGCACAAACGGTGTGAGTTCAAGGTCAGTGCTGACTGCAGTGATAAAATATTACACTCTCCAGACGAGATCAAACAGCCAACCATGACGCTGCAAACACACAGACTGGTTTATATCAACATTTCAGATGCAAATGAAATGTCTGATTGATAACGCCACAAAGTCTCTGTCCATGTAAAAATAAAACATTAATACAAAAATACCATCAGTCTGAACTTTTGAAAGCTTGGCCTCTGAAACATCACTGTAGGCTGCAGAGCCTGTTGTTAAGAGTTTGCTCTAGGGATCCAAATGGGGAAATTTATGTTGCTGAACTACAACTGAACTAAAAGCACCTCTGCAGTTAGTTATATCTGTTATAGTGAAACTCTAATGTGAAACTTTTTCTTCATATAAGTTCTGATAAATTAGATAATAATGAAATTACACCATTCCTCATTATGTCAACGACACCCAAGGGGTCCTCAAGAGTGTTCTAGGGGTTTTAATTTAAAGTCCAACAAAGCTTATGCTAGCAATACCACCCCATATTTTGTAATGTGGGACGAGCCAAGCTCCAAGGAAATGTACTGGGCTAATTTAACATTGTGGCCAGACCGTGTTATTAAAACATACATGATGCACAGCCGTTCAAAAAAACTTTTATTACTTACATTATGAAAGACGCAGCTGTGAAATGGTAAATACATTTTTTGGAACATCAAAACCCTGGCAAATGACTCGTTTAACGAACAGAATTTGATCCCTTGGGCTGATAACATTTGGAAAGTGCCGCATGAATAAATAATTTGATCCACATTCAAGTTAGTGGAGGGATAAACCAGAAGTTAGCTGGCTCTGTTAGCGGAAGTCTCTGGTGTTCATGCATTCATCATTTGATGATGCATTCATCATTCATCGTTCATCATGCATTTATGCGCAGTATGCATTCATCCGGGTAATTTCTGTGCAGTGGGAAGTGAATTTTTTGGCTTCATGCGCCCATGAGCAACTTTCATAGCGAAGAACGGATCCCCGCCTCCAACACTCCAGTTCTCCTTTATACAACAACAATAGGGATAAATACAACAGGTGTGGTGTGCAGCATCTGCTGACCCACAGGCCTTAAGCTTATATGTTCTTTCCACAAACATGATGTGTTCATGCTCTTGTGAAATATGATAAAGTATGCACAATAGCTGTCATCATAATATACATTTCCCTACACACAACATGAAGAGAATTCAAATTTCAGTTCAACTGGCACGGATGCAAAACAGATGCAGAAATATTATAATTACTTAAAATTTTAATTTGTCATGGTTGGGAGATCACTTAGTTGAGGGGCAAAACTTTTCAGATTAACTTATAAAACTGATTAAATATTTACAACTTGTAAAATAGTCTAAATGCCCCGACTGTGACCCCTAGACGCTGTGCAGCATCTGATATCAAACACACCAAACCCTGGCGGTGTGACTCACCACAGAGCAACCAAAGCTGCCACCCTTCGATCTCACGCTATTGGAGATAAAACCTGAGGTATAGCAGCTCCAGTGTGTGGTGTGCGACCAACTCATTTACATATTTGGCTTGTAGCAGGTGCCACTTGAATGACTCTTTGTGTGTGTTGGACAGACTGATAAGAACCTTGACTGTGTCTACATCAAAAAATAACCACAGTGACTCTGAAAGTTGTCTGGATGCCAAAAGAAAAATGTCATGTGTTCCAGCTGGTCACAGGTTGAAACATCTGTACTGTAGTGAATAGGGAGATAAACAGTAGTTTGATGTCCAATATAGTTAGGAATCTCTATTCCAGATGCTATCATTAGATTACAAAAATATTATGCATCCTTTGCATGTCACACCCTTTGTCCTTATCCTTTACTTAGGGTGGTGTCCCTCTTTCTGTACTGAGACTGTTTGCTTGTGAAAGCCAGCTGCTACATATGCTGTTGAACATATTACGTGTCTAAATGACACATTAACGGTGGTTGTTATCACATAAAACAACAATTATAGCCCCGATGTTTTGGTTTGCAGTGTCTACTTTAAATTTGAACTGAAGAAAATATCAAAATACTGAAATATTTAAGAATGTATGGAAGCTGGGCGGCCGGTTAGCTCAGTGGGTAGAGCTGGCAACCCATGTACCAAGGCTGAGTCCTTG